AAAAAATATATATATATGTGTGTGTGTGTGTGTGTGTGTGTGTAGAGAGAGAGAGAGGTTTTTAAATAACTTTCTTTGTAACCATATTTATAAAGGCTAGTACAATAATTGGTTCACATAGGACATCGTATAAATGTGCTGCCCACCTCCGTATTTAATGTATCACAGGACCATCATATTTTGAGTACATAATCCTGGGTAAGTGAACATTGTGGCTATTTTGTTATTTTTCTCGGGGATTTTGATTTACATGCCTTCTACAGATCATAATGGATTCTTGTTTTATTTAGCTTGATTTGGTCTGGTTTTCTGAGACAGGGTCTCACTATGTAGTTCAGGCCTTGAGCTCACTGCGTAGCCCAGGCTGGCCTTGAACCCATGAAAATCATTCTGCCTTGGCTTACGAGTGCTAGGATTACAGGTGTACACCACTATGCCTGTCCTGAATGGATATTTTTAAAACGTGAAATAGTATATTAAAAAAGAAATTAAATTAAACTAGGTTGTTTTTCCTCTTTATACTCCACTGTGCTGAAAGCAAAAATCAGTTATGTTGTGCAAGGTTTACAAGATCAATCCACGAAGCAAAGAGCAATGTGTGTTCTGAGCTACAGTTACAGGTGGGACAGCGCCGCGCTGAGACCTAAACTCGGTGGAGCTTGAGATACAGGCAGCCCGGGGAGAGCCCCGCCGTGCCCTGTGCACCCTCTCATCCCACACTGCTCTACCTGGAAAGCGTCCCTTACTGCACAGTAATGAAGTAAACTTCTCAGTGCAACCGAACACACACCTTTATCTTTGCTCCTTTTAAAATCCCACAGAAACAACAGTAATGTTGAAGACACGTAAGAGAAGAAGAGAGATACTCCGAAGGTGGAACACAGGTCGGTGAACAGCAATCTGATGGCACAGGCAGTAAACACCGGCCAGCAAGAGGATGGAGACACACAAAGACCTGGCCTCCCACCGTGGCGCTCCAGGCGCTAGAGCTGACATCTTCTAAGAACGGAGAGTGTGGGCTTGGGAACCAGAGGAGAGGTGAAAGTCTGTACAGAAGCCAGAGTATTTACTCACTAGAGATTAAACCAGGGAGATGACCGGAGTATGGGACACAGGACACTGCAAAGAGCAGGGCACCATATTGGAAAGCAGGGGCCCAGCACTCGGGAGGCTGAGGCTGGAGAATTGCTGTGAGTTCCAGGCCAGCCTGAATGACATAGCAAGACTTCATCTCAACACCTGCCAAAATTTAGTGATTCAATGACAAGAGAAATATATACATATGTGTCACATAAAATTATGTGTACATTATATATAAGGAAGCATTTTTCAAAGTATGCTAGATGTTTCTCTTTTGAAAAAGTCCTTTGATTTTATATTAAATGTATGAAGTATCTATTCTAAAGAATTAAAATTCTTGTATTCATTTTCAATTTCCCACGTAGCAAGAGGAAAACCCAACTGAGCATGCCCAGTAAAGCCGGCCGCGCCATAATGGTTTCTTGTTTTGTTATGGTGGTGGGGATCGAACTTGGGCCTTTGCACTTGTGCAGGAGGTGGTAGAACCACTGAGCCAAATCCCCGGCCCCAGCTATAAGAGGTTGGAAGCAGAGTTTGTAGGACCGTGACTTCAGGTCACAGCTATTTCCCCAGAACTCTTCTGAGATAACAGCAGAAATCAGAAAATGGACCAAACCCTCAGCAAAACAAAAACTCGGTAAAAGTTAATGGCACAGACCAACTGGACCCAGGAACCAAAATATGCTTATTTAAAGTCTGACGTTTCAAACACAGAACTGATTTACAGCATTTTTATGTGAATCTCAAAAACATCCTTGTATGTAATTTCCTTGGACCACAACACACGAACAGAGTAATTTCTGAATTAGAAAGCAGAAAATTGCTAGAATTCCATCCTGTTGTGGGGGAGAGAGAAATAGACAAGTAGTTTTGGTGATCAGAGAAAGGATGAGATCTGCTGGTAACACAGAAGCCAGTTTTTAAACAATAACAAAGAAGAATTGTACCAAACTCCTAGTCTGAACCCACTTAAAATCTTTCAGGCTTTGGTTTCAACCAAAGCTCACAGCAATTCAGGAATGTAAGACAGCAGAGGGAAGCATTAAAAAACATAAAACTTTCCCTCTGACTCCACACGATCCCTACTACTTGTCTGGACTTTGCAAAACAGAGACTTGAATAACGAGGCTGACCCTGAATGTGCCACCCTTCTCAAAATGAAAAACAAATTATTTTAAGGACTGCTGAAGTAAATCAGAAACAACTGAACACTGAGACAAAGTATATATTAAGGAAAGTAATGTTGCCAGCAGCCACACATATAAACCCAGGACACTGTAAAATATTTGCCCAGAGTGGGAAACAAGTAACAGTGTCTTTACCATGGACCACAAGTGAACCATTGTGGGTAGCAGGGCTGCCGTTTGGATCACACACAGCTTTAATGAGTAGTGGGAAAATGTGCTTATTTTCCTCCAAAGTTCTTCAATTGGAACAAGCAGAGTAGGAAAACTGGATACAACCAATTACTTCCTTGCCATCAAAGAAGGGGGACCCTTACAGTCAGAGCTGGTTTGCCATCAGTCTCTGGATCTAAAATATTATGGTTTTCTCACCACAACAGCTTCCTGATTACTTATTTACCCTTCCGGTTGGCAACACAACTTTGTCTTTAAAAATAACTGACTGTGATTAATTCCATTCATTTAATCCATTCCATTCAGTAAGCACATACTAATGAGCACTGAATGTGCAGGGATGCTTTAAAAGACTCCATTCCTGAAGAGGTGTTTGGACTGGCGTTTGGCAGACTTTAAACTTTAGTTTACATTTTCCTGATTGGCCGTGAAGATGTATTGCTGGATTCGTACCTTTTGACCATTTATTAACTAAGGGACTTATCATTCTCAGGTTTCTCTGTAGAAATTTATTATCTATTCTGGACCCCAATTACTATTCTGGATATTCATCACTTGTTTCTTATAAGCTACACAAATATATTATCCCCTGCATAATGGTCACACATTAATGCTAATATATTCATAGTTTCCTCGGTAAGTTAGGTGTTGTTCATGTGTTCTAAGAAATCTTTCTCTATTCCAAGCCCATAAAGCTATGTATAAAGGCAAATAAGGATTTGACATTCGTTAATAGATCTGTAAATGCAGCAGCAATTAAATTGAGTGTATAGTGTGAGGTAGGGATCTAGTATTTTCTTGGTGAGTAGCTGATTGAGGAGGGATTCTTCTTGATGACTTTCCACTGAGGGAAATGCACTTTGCCAGACAGTAAAGGGAGAAGAGGGGTTACGTTAGTGGAATCTCAAGCTCGATCAGGAGAGGCTGTGACAATCTTAACACAGCTGGGCATGGAAGCCCAGCCCAACTTACAGAGTGCCAGGTTCGTCAGGGAAGGGTGACATCTTAAGGTGTTTACTCTTTGTGCCTTCCACAGCACACAGCAGATAGTAAAAAAAAAAAAAAAACTTGCTAAGTAATAAACAAATAGAAAGTCCTTCATAGCCTAGTGACGTCAACTTTGAGACGCTCGCCACAGCCTTGAGGAATTCCCACGCGGGTCCCTCTGTCCTTCCTGTTGCCTCTATTTGAACTGTTCTTTCCTACTTGCCTTCCAACTGGAAAACTGGCCTACAAAAACCCTCTACTTTTTCTAGGCAAAGCACAATGCATTCTTCTTTTGCACCCATAAAGCACATGTACAAACCTTCATGTGACACCTGGAACATTTTCTGACAAGCCACAGGTAAGCCCATTCCCATTGTGATCTCTGCGGCCAAACGGAATTCAAGCCTCAGCATATGAAGGAGACGCGCGTTTTTGCCCAGGCTGCCAGGAACCCTGGACTCGGGGCTTACCGGCGTGGGGACCACCGCGTATGAACTCCACAGGGGCATCCTCAGCGCTTTTGCAAACCCACTGATGTACTCTCTGTGGTACAGAAGACAGTGGTCCTGGTTCTCCTGCATGACCCTGGGCCTCCCAAATGGCAGATTGGCTTTCGTTGTCGCCGTTACTAAAACCAGGATAACATAAAATAAAAAATACCTGTGAAATGAGCAAGCGCTTCCCGGTATGCCGTGACCCCCGCCCTTGGACAACTTACACTGTCAGGTGTTCCGACAAATAGTCGACAAACTTAACCTGTGTTAAATCTCGCAACAATGCTGTGAGGTAGGTGTCATAATCCAGCTGTACCAATGATAGACAAAACTAATATTGCTACAAGACAGGCAGTGTTGTAAACTCTGTCCAAGGATTAATTTTGTAATCATTACAACTACATGAAGTGGGTACAATTATTATAGTAGACAAAGGGAGCACAGTGAGGATGCCTGGCTTGCCCCCGTATTGATGGCTAGAAGCAACAAGGTAGAAGAGTTCAGACCCAGGTAGTTTGGTCTGTTCGCATCTTGGAAAGGAAATCTGGGGCTGTAGAGGGCACAAACATTTCCAGAGATTTAGCAGGATCCTGGGACCACTGTAACTGCCCTCATGCTTTGTACTCCTTGTTATTAGACCTGTGGGATTTTTCCTCTTGCACCTTGGCAATAAAATCTTTAGGTTCAAAAGCCTCTGTAAGCTTATTTTGGAAAAATGGCCAAAAGGCGAGACTGCCTCATATTAGTTCTAAATATCAAACATTAACATATTTTCTACAGACTTACTTTCTTCTGGAGTGAGATTTAGCATCTGGTTGACATGTTCTAGCTGAGAATTCTGTAAGATAAGAAGAAAGGGTGTCAATAAGTAATAATAGACATTAATGAGTGGTCAAGATTATTTCTTCAGTAATCACATGAAGTGTTTTCTGCAAGAGTCACAAAAGTCTTAACAGTTTCAGCATTGCTGAAAAGTCCAAGTACAAAGTCTCTTTTGAGGCTCAAGGCAAACTTTTATACATGAAAAAAGAACCCAGACTAATTTGGGTTTAAATTTTTATTCTGCCACTACTTAGAAATAGGAGGTGCTGCTCCTCTCATTCTTCTTTTATGTAGGAGTTTGCAAAGAGAGAATTAATAATAGGACAAAACATTCTGAGCACAGCTGGAATCAACACCTGAGTTAGTTATGTTTAAATTGAAAATGTTCCTTGGGGCTGGGGATTTAGCTCAGTGGTTCCGGCACCTGCCTCACAAGCACAAGGACCTGAGTTCGATCCCTGGTACAAAAAACACACAAACAAAACATAAATTGAAAATGTTCCTCAAAGTCTCGTATTTTTGGAAGGTGACTGGATTGATAGAACTTCTATAAATAGTCTGAAACCTAAAAAATGTTGAAGAAAATATGGAGCAACCACTCCCTTTTGCTTTTGTAATTTGCTTTGCTTGCTTAACAAAACACCTGCGGTTTCACCATTGAAGCTTAAAGGCATGTAACCCCAGTTTAAAATTAACAAATGCCAGAGGTACTGAGCTGTATCCCAGGATGAGATCAGATGTTCAAACTAAGGTAACAGTCCCTGAGCCATAAAACTTTCTGTAAACCATAAGACTACAAAGGTGTTAACATGAAAGAAATGTCACCAGTCCTGCTTTCCTAACCCTGACCCACACTCTTGTGGACTGGAATGGCTAAAGATAAAACATCCTGAAAGAGAATGCTACATTTGGGTTAACACTGTACTGTCTTGCGACCATGATTTGTGATGGGAACTGTGGGAACTAGAACATCTTATCACCTAAAATGAGGTCATGATTGTACAACTTCTATAAAAGACAGATTATCACCCAGCCCAGGGTCGGTCATTTGGCACAGCCTTTGATGCAGACTGACCCTTTGCAAGCAAAGTAAAATTTTTTTTACCCACTTCTGCATCTCTGTGTGTCATTTGCCAGTTCCTTCCACAACATTTGGATCACAGGGGTGATGTTATCATTACTGTATTCGTCCACTGATGAGGTCAGCAGCTAAGTGTTCTGATAGGAGGTAGGGCTTGGCTGGACACGTGGGTCACTCAAGTCATGATCTGGAAGGGTGTATTTTTGTTTTGTTTTGTTTTAAACCAGAGATCCAACTCAGGACCTTGTGCTTGTGAGGCAGGTGGTGGCACCACTGAGTAAATCCCTGGCCCTGGAAGGGTGTATTCTTGCTCCCCTCTGCTCTCCTCCCTGCTGCTCTCTGATTCCTGGCTTCCATGACAAGAGCAGCAATCCTCCACCGTGAACTTTCACCATGTTGTTTCTGCCTTGGAGACTGCCAACCATGGACCAACCCCAGGGAAACTGTGAGCCAGACTTCTAAATTGTTGGTGTTGGGTATTTTGTCCCAGTGACAGGAAAGCGGCTAACACAGAAAACTGGCACCAGGAGTGGAGTTGTTCCTGTGATTATACCTGATTGTATACTTCACAAGCCTTTGAAACAGGTTTGTGAGTGGAATTTGGAAAGGTTTGGGAGACGGTGGCTGGAGAATCCTAGAATGCTATAACCAGAGATTCTGGTTAGAGGTTAGAAAGTCAGAATACTGATAGTAATGTGGGCAGTAAAGGCCAGACTCATAAAGTTTCAGTTGAGAAAACTATTAAAAGTTGGAGGCCATGTATGAGGATCAATGGAACAGACTGGAAGACACAAAAACAAATGCAGATGTACTCAGCTACCTCATCTTTGACAAAGGAGCTCACCATCCTCAGTGGAGGAAAGATAGCCTCTTTAATAAATGGTGTTGGAAAAACTGGATATCAACCTGCCACAGATTAAAATTAGACCCTTATCTTTCGCCATGCACTAAATTAAAATCCAAATGGATTAAAGATCTAAATATTAAAACAGAAACATTAAACTTGCTGGAAGGTAAGTTAGGCAGAACTCTGGAAGACATTGGTATAGGAAAAGACTTTATGAACAAATCCTCAGTAGCACGGGAACTAGCAGAAAGAATCAACAACTGGGATCTCATCTTACTAAAAAGCTTCTGTACTTCAAAAGAAACCATTAGCAGAACTAAGAGACAATCTACAATGTGGGAAAAAATTTTTACCAGCTGTACCTCAGACAAAGGACTATTATCAAGGATATATAAAGAACTCAAAACAATCAGTCC